AACTATAATGTAAAATTATGGTCTTCATTGTGCTTGGTCCACCTTGTTGCAGTTATGTGGCTTAAGAGTGCTTCTGGGAAACTAAAAAAACTAGAAAACATACGAGGTAAATGGTCATTGGACCCTGCCTTATCTGTACATTGGGAGCTCTGTAACGGCGCTCTACATAGGTGCTAAAACGAGATCAATACTGTACCCAATCTTAAGAAGTACTCAGATAAAATAATAAATAATGTAAAATAAATAAAATATGCTCTAATAAAACTTCTTGTCCAAGGAAGAATTAAAAACGTTGCACTGAAAACCTAATAACCTACTACACTGAGTATGTTTCATTGATGAAAGGGAATCAGAGCAGGCAAAGGATACGAACGAAATGAAGTTAGGTTCTTGATTGTGGTAATAAGCAGTTAATATATTAATGAAAAATATCCTAAATAAAAATTATGAAGACAGACCCATTCTGTGACATTACTAATACAAGGCCACTTTAGAACAGAAGAACTGTCAGCTGTTACTGATGGTGACGTGGATGAGGGACTTCAGTTTAGAGAGTTTTATGGTTAAGTCACGTTTATGAAAAACCTTCTACGTTTATGTAGTATGTACTTTTATGTAAAGAATAAATACAGAAGTTAGGCCATCTCATTATTTCATTCTAAGAAATCCCCTCAGAAGATTAATTTGCGAAGAGCTGACGATAACATTGACGTGGTATTTATTCAAAAACTACAGTCAAATGAGCTAAGATTCGTAAATTCAATGTTAAAGGAAATTTTAGGGCTTATTATAAAAATATCAGATACTAAAGTTATTACCTTAACCATATTTTCAATATGAACCAGATCTTCACACTTAGACAAACTCGACAAACTATTTGTCGATTTTAAAGCGACTGTGTCATAAGAACAAGTCTTAGCATCTCTAGGAATGGATTAGGAATTAAAAAAAAATCATATACATGATAAAAGTAACAATACTCAAGATGCTATCAGCAATAAAGATCAGAACGACTCGTTAACCCCATTTAAAATATATATGGGGTGAAGGCAGTGGGATGCGCTGGCATGTCAGGTTTTTACCATAGCCTTAGAAAAAGCTGTTCCAGACACTAATTTAGATAGCAGGAAAACTATATTTATTAGGTATTAAAAAATCTAGCATATGCCGATGACGTGGACATTATAACAAAAACCAGGGCGAGAATCATGGAGACTCTAACCGAGCTAGTAGCACCAGCAGAATGAACGGAATTACATATAACTCAAAATAAAACCAAAGTTATGGCGACTAACACAAACAATGACCAAAACTTCGAAGTGGTCAAAGAGTTCATATATCTAGGGACATAAGTTAACCCCAATAATAACTCATCAGGGGAAACAAAAAGGCGAATCCTAATTGCGAACAGGTGTTACCATGGTCTATCAAAGTACTTGCTAACAAACGTGTCTCAAAAAACTCATAAAAGACTCTATAGAACTCTCAGAGTTCCTATTCTCATATTGACATAAAGACAGCTACTAAGATTATAGAGACTTATACAAAGCACGAGTTTGGTGTAAATATATTGTCTAATCAAGCGAAACCGTCTGCAATTAACAGAACATGTAGCCCGGGCCCCAGAATCAAACATGATAAACAAGATTGTGACAGCACAACTGGCAGAAATGAAAACACAGGCTAGATCAAAGCTTAGGTGGATAGACGGACAACACAGAATGCTGAGAAGATCGGTGTTGCCAAACTGGAACATCGAAGCAAGGAACAGAGCAGAATGGCGTAGAAAACTTCGAGAAGGTCGAGGCTCTTTAAGAGAGTACTGTAAACGCTACATAGAAAGATCCGACCTGCCAGTGAAGTGCTGAATGTATCCAAATAGGTGGACAGTGGCGTGATTATGCTTTTTATATAATTAAAGGCACCGAATAGTTACCACTGCGCTACTGACAGCGTGGATAAATATGTAAACAAGGCGCTAGGATCGAATCGGTACGAAAATAAGGATTTGCTCTAGTTCTTCTTAACTCGAGCCTACTGTAACACCATGATGATGATGATGAAACTTACTACCTAATCCTTTACGCATGCAACCTGCAAATTTTTTGTATATATTTTCATATTAAATTACTGTTTAACTTGATAACTGTTTCACAATGGTTTTATTCATAATATTTAAATCAGTAGATATTGAAAGGCTGGTGATGAAAATCGTTACTGAAATTATTATTTATTTTTGTATCAAAATACCTATTTTAGTAACAATTTCAATCACGACTCACTAAAGGTGAAACATGCAAAGTGTCTATTTGATGACTTTACTAACATACTTGCTTGGATATGGTTGTTGTTAAAATATTGATAAAAACATTTTCGTTATTATCTCTTAGAGGTTATAAATATTTATTAAATATATATATATATATATATATATATATATATATATATATATATATATAATATGTAGATTTATTTATTAATTGTTTACCAACATTAGACTCAATATTTGGTCCAATTAATTTGCGCCAGACTTTTTTCTTTTTGTTTATTTTATTAGTATTGTTGTTGATAAAAGTATAAAATATTGTCAATGTATTGTCAAAACCACATACTATCAAATAAGACTTAATTAAAAAGCATACAGAAAAATAAAATTGTGTTGTATATTGCTTTTGGTCTATCTCATATGCGTCTGGGCTCGTAATGTAACAGAAATCAAAAAGGACAAATTGTATGGATGTTTATAATAACAAAAATAGATATATTACACGTAAGTAGCAAATAATATGACATCGCGAAAAATAATCAACTTTAGCAAACATCAAATTTGTGGTCATACAGTGAGAGAGGAGAAATATGCATTACTGAGATTGATTATGCAAGGGAAGACAAAGAAACAAGACACGCAAAATGGCCTTGCTGGGAAATCTAAGAGAACTCTTTAACTTTTTAGAGCAGCTTATTAAAACTCTTTATAAATGCACCAATAGGATTAAGACAGCGATGATGATTTCCAACATTCGAATAGAAGAAGAAACCTAAAGAAAATATTCATATTCAAAGCAAAATTTACAAATAATTTAATATAGCTATTACAATTAACCTATTAAGCTTTGTTGGTAAATACCTTCAATGGGGTTAGTTCGAATGACAACTAGATAAATACTATCAATAATTGAGTATTTTCGTCGTTTAAAAAAACAAATTTCCAAATTTAAAAGCAGAGGGTATAAAACTTCATGAACTCACTATATAATTTAATTATGAGATAATGGTAATTAGAGGAGCCCTTAATTTAATAATTTGGACAGAAAGAACTATAATTACATTAAAAACTTTCTACATAAATTAAATTCACTTCAGTATATAGTTTATGCGGTTTGAAAGCCCACTTTATTCATCACCGCATTTACGTCACTGTGACCGTTTTAATGAAATATTAATTAAGTCGTATTAAACTATCTTGATTGAATTATTCGAAAGCTTTAAAATATTACAATGCATAGTTACTTTGCAAGTTTGAACCACCAGCGGTTACGACTGCCAACAAAATACTTGTCTACGAATAGAAGCAATTATTAAGCTTTTAATTAATTTAACAAGGACTCCACAACTAATGCCAACTCGTATGTAGTTTCTAAACTATGAACGAACTTATTAAAAGGCTCTCCAACTAAAAACTTGTGTTGAGGAAGCAGTGAATTAACGATATTAACACTTTTAAAATAATTCACCAAAACAGGAATTTAAGGTCAGAAGTAAGGGACCGAAAAATACACGAAATATACACGTCAAAAACCAATATCATAAATTTAAGCAGAAAGTAACGCCAAACATTTAAAATAAGTAGTTAATATTAATCAAGCCTTCTTCTTATAGTGCCGTGCATCTATAGTGCGTTGGCGAATTATTTTAAGGCCAGACGTCTGTCTTTTGCGGCATGCAAAAGATCGCCAGTGTTATTTATGCCTGTCAAGTTCTTTATGTTCCGTAGCCACGACATTTGTTTGAGACCTACCCCTCTCTTGGCTTCAATCTTTTCTAGGATGATTAGTTGAGGGACTGCGTATTTTTTCCTCCCAGAATATGGCCGAGGTATCCAATTTTTCGTACCTGAATCAAATTGAGTAGTTCTCTCTCAGTATTTGCCTTTCTTAATACTTCCTCGTTTCTCACCCTATCTGTCCATGGTATGCGGAACAGTTTTCGCAACATCCACATTTCGAAGGCCTCAAACTTATTAATGGGAGGTACTCTTAACGTCCATGTTTTCATGCCGTATAACAACATGGACCATCCATAGCATTTAACCATCCTGTAGCGGAGATTGAAGGAAAGATTGCGGTTACATAGTATCGGATTACATTTGATAAAAGCTTGTCTTGATTGTTTGGTACGCCATTTTATTTCTTGTTGAGGATCCCATTGGTCATTCGTCATCATTCCCAAGTATTTAAATTTTTTCACTTGATCGATTGAAGCATTATCTACTTGCAGTTGTATTCTTAAAAGTGCGTTTTTTCTTATTGTCATGCATTTAGTTTTTCCAGCATTTATCTTTAAGCCATATATTTTCCTCCGGTATTTATTTTGATTTTTAATAGAGATTGAAGAGAATAGGAGACAAAATACACCCCTGTCGCACCCCTCACAAAATTTCAAATTCGCAGTTTTCTATAAGCGTATTCAAGCAGAAAGCTGCTTTACGTGTACCCAGTCCGCGCTTGAAACCAAATTGTGTCTCACCGCTCAGATCTTCCAGCTTTCTGAACATTTTTGTGTGAAGGATGCAAAGAAACACCTTAAGCTAATGGCTCGTTAAACTTATCAGTATGTATCTGTCTGTATCAGTCTGTATGTATTAATCAAGTATCCTAACACAAAAAAATGTTTAGTGCGGATGAAAATCCCTTGCCTACGGAAATTCTTACACAAATGAAAAATGCACAATTTCTGTACGCTAAGAGTGTCATAACAATGTTTTTTAAATTTACAACTTAATGGTACATGGTACAAAAGCAGATGTCTTTTGCCCAGAAGCTACAGCTTTTTACAATGGTAAAGTTGACTTGGGTGACCAAATATCTGGATTGTATGAAATGTTAGAAAAAGTCTTTTTTAGACTAACAAGGGTAGCGGCTGTTAATAGTTGGATTACTTACAACCAACTGAATCGCAAGACAATTACATTCAAGAATTTTTTACTGGCAGTAGGTGAAGATGTAGTAACAGAAAGGAAGAGCTTTAAAGAAAACGAAGAATATGATAGAATGTATCATCATCAAATGTGTCTATGATCTTTTACCAATCATAGAAAAATCTCGTCATTGTTGTACGATGCGTTTTGCCAAGAAAAAAGAATCACGAACCCAAATGATATGTCAAATGTGGCAGGTACCCTTATGTTAAGAATGAATTTATAAAAATGTTTTTTTACTTATACTGACGATTATTATTGGTTAAATTAAAAAAAAATTGTTTTTAAGGTTTTTATTTCATATAAAAAAAGGTTAAAATCCATTGAAAAATTTTATTTCGAAACCAAAGGAATATATCGTCACACTAAAAAAACCATTGGGACAATATATCTCAGGGTAATATGACTCCAAATTTAATGTAAATAAAAAATATTATACAGACGACCAGCTGACTGGCCCTACAATCACCAAAGAGGAGATAGAAAAGGCAATATTAAATTCAAAAAACAATAAGGCATCTGGACCAGATGAAATTCCGTCAGAAATACTCAAATTACTAGATGAAAGGGGAATTTCAGCACTACACAAAATATTAAATTTAATTTATGAAACTGGCTGCTATCCTCAACAGTGGTTACGCTCTACCTTTATTCCCGTGCCCAAGAAAGTCAATGCAAAAAGATGTGAGGATCACAGACTCATTATCCTGATGAGTCACACTTTAAAGATATTCTTAAAAATACTACATCAAAGATTATACAAAAAATGTGAATGGGACATCAGTGATTTCCAGTTCGGGTTTAGGCAAGGTTTAGGAACACGAGAAGCAATAGTAGCAACACATGTGCTGGTATAAAATTGTTACGATCAGAGGAAGAATGTGTTCCTGTGCTTTTTAGATTACCAAAAAGCGTTTGATCGTGTCCAACACCATAAGTTAATGCAGATTCTCAAGAAAGTTGATATAGACCAAAAAGACATAAGATGCATTGAAAACTTGTACTGGCATCAAACGGCACAGTTAAAAATAGACAATTCTATATCCAAACCCATACATATAAGACGAGGCGTTCGACAGGGATGTGTGCTTTCTCCTCTTTTATTTAACATTTATTCGGAAGCCATATTTCAAGAGTCTTTGGAGGATGCAGAGATGGGAATCAAGGTGAATGGAGTATTGATCAACAACATACGATATGCTGATGATGGTGTCTTAATTTGTGACAACATAGTCGATCTTCAACAACTTATCACTATAATCGGAGAATACAGTAAGCGAATGGGATTAGAGATTAATACCAAAAAGACCAAATTCATGATCATCTCCAGAAACTTGGATGCACTTGAAAACTCCACCATAACACTGAATACTCAGTCCATTGAAAGAGTGAGTAAATTTAAATACCTGGATCGTGGCTTTTTGAAGACTGGGCATTGGACAGGGAAGTAAAATGTCGCATTGAGCAAGCTCGACAAGCTTTCGTAAAATTCAAGAAGGTACTGACTTGTTCAGAGTTCGATCTTCAACTGAGACTAAGGTTTACTAAGTGCTACGTATGGTCAGTGCTGCTATATGGCGTAGAGGGCTGGACACTCAAAACGAGGGATATAAACAGATTAGAAGCTTTCGAAATGTGGCTTTATCGCCGTATCCTAAAAATACCATGGACAGCGAAAAATCACAAATATAGATGTCCTTAAAAGAATAAACCAAGAACGCCAACTTTTCGAAACCATCAAGAAAAGGAAAACGGCGTACTCTAGGTCACATCATGCGAAATGAAAAATACCAGTTCCTCCAACTTATAATCGAGGGTAAAATTGAAGGCAAGAGAGGAATGGGATGCAAGAAAATGTTCTGGCTCCGAAACATAAGGCAATGGACAGGGATTAACGACATACAATATCTGATACATATTGCAAGAAATATAGAATTAATGGAAAATGTGACCGCTAACATCCATTAGTGGATTTGCATTTAAAGAAGAAGAAAAAATATTAATATAATCAAACACATCCGTAAAACCGCATTATATGACCAAATGATAAATATTAGTTTTTGGTGAGAAAAAAAAAAAGTTCGAAAAGGGAGTCTGGTTTTCTCTGTGTTTATTCGGAGTCCGATCGAGTTGGACGACTGTACCATCTTGTCAATTTTAATTTGCCTTTGATCTCGGTGTTCAGTTAGTAGGCAGATGTCATCTGCAAATTCAAGATCTTCTAACTGTTTGAATAGGTCCCATCTGATGCCTGTTTGATCGACAGTTACAGTCCTAGGTAGAAGGGGCCTAATTAATGACTGAAAATTAGAATTTTCAAAAAAAGAACTAACTTAACTATATAGTAATGTCAATAGAAAAAAACAAGTAAGGATATAGTACAGGAGAGAATTCAGAAGGATAATTAAACTTTAGGAAGGAACTAACAACATAAACTCAAATTCAAAAAAATTAGCCAACCAACAAAAATAAGAAGGTTTTAGCTAATGATTAAACGCATAACTAAAAAAATAAAATGAGACAAATTTTTAAACCAAAAATAATTAAAGACGGAGAAACAAGAATCAAAACAAAAAAAAATAGAGCAAGAAATTGTAAAAGATTTTTTCAAGAAAACACCCTATTAAAGATCATGCTGTAACCTTACATGGCAATGATATTTCAATTGTTTCGGAATTTAGATATCTTGGTGTCGTACTTGACAGAAAATTGCTTTGGACTCAACATATTAATTATACAATTGGTCGCTGTGGAAAGGTATTAATTTTCTTAAAATGGCGTGTAAGAGATCGTAGGGTTCAGATCAAAACATTGCATTGAATTTTTATCGAGCCTATATAAGATCCATTATAGATTAGCTAGCATAACCAATTTACGTAAACTTGATAGAATCCAATTTAAAGCTCTAAGAATTGTGTTAGGATTGATGAAAAGAACTCCAAATGAAGTCACCCTAGTTCTAGCATCTGAAAACCCACTCTCATTGCGCAGAGAATATCTGGCAAGCAAATATTTCCTAAAGTAACAGTAAAGTATGTGGATTTAACATCCACATACTTCATTAAAAAAACTCTCCACCACTTGCAAGAGCAATTATAACCTGCAACGAACTCAAGTTAATAACATTTGCAATTTTATTGATTCTTTGGTATATATTGGAATCCCCTCGTATATGTAATATATTGAAATCCCCTCATATATGTTTGAAAAATATATAAAAATATATTCGTTACAATATTCATATGTAATTACGTGGCTAAAGGTTCCAAGCCAAAGCCAATAAGCAATAAAAAAAATTGTAAAAGAAACCATAGTAAAACATACAAAATTAAGATGTCTCCGATGAGCAGTACAGAGAATTAGAAGATCACAGTATATATGGTTGAACTAGATAGAAGAAGACATACAAATATTAAAAATAACAGCTCAAAGATAAAATGTAGACACAGAAAGGATTGGAAATGATTTACCAACGCTGCAAAGACAAATATTTATAAGAAATAAAATAAAGAGAAGAAATCCCGCACATCTTTAATCTTTAATTTAACAGTACATGCCACTGTGATGATGATGCTAGTATGATTTAAAATGGAATAATACCTTGAGGCACATTAATTTAATGTAGTCGTATATTTCATAACTTGTAAACGAACTTTTTTATGAACCATTCTCTATCAAACAACTCCAATAAAAATTTACCGCATAGACTTCATAAAAGGAATCTAAATAAATTACAATAATGATGGATGGAAGCCTTCATACAAATTCTCGAAAGGCGTTTTTTCCGCTTATAAAACTGTGGCGGCGACGCGCGAACGTCATAAAAGACAAGGATAAAGGCGAAAAGACATATGTAATTTCCTCTTTAGCCAAACATTTCGGGGGTTAAAAGGTGTAAAGGTGAGTTAGGTGGGCTCAGCGGCGTGGCAACAATTCGGATAAACTTCGGCAAACAAAAAACTTGGCAGATCCTTGGAGATGTTTAACAAACAAAGGTAAATTTTCAATGAAAGCAAAACTGCTGAAAGGTGTGGAGCTGAAATGTGTGCGGCAGGGTGGCATGATTGGATTGAAATTGTAATTTTAAAATAACTTAAGTGGGTAAAGTAAATTAAGAGCTTTTACTTACGAGGTACAAAAATAAATTTGGTGCCTGCGAATAAAACGTACAGCAGAAAAATGCAAACATTGAATATAAATTGAGTGTAAATGTTTGGAATATTTTTTAAGACTATCGGAACCAAACCTAAACAAGAAAATTTTTGGGATTTAAATAAAAATCGGAATGCAGTCAATGTATTTACAAACGATGTATGCAAAAATGATATATTCTTTTTCCTTTTGGATTCTATGCTAACTGCTATTTTTGTTTCTATACAACTCTATACTCATGCGCTGAGATTGTCACTCCGTCGGTTTCAGGGACGCAAAACGCTTCGATCTCTTACTTATGATTTATCTCTTCTTCTTGACTAGCATCACTGCTATTCTAACTTTTGACACTACAGTCCGAAAGAGTTCAGTTGAGCTGCATCCAAAACATTCTCTGAGGTTTCTCACACAGGACATTCTTCTTCTACCTATGCTGCGCTTTCCTCAAATCTTTCCCCACATTATTAGTTTTAGGAATTCATATCTGTCACCACGTGTTATATGACCCAGATATTGTAGTGTTCTTATTTTGATGGAATCCAATATCTTCCTGCTGTTCTCTATTCTTCTTAGTACACCTTCGTTGGTTATTCTGTCTGTCCAGGAGATTCTCAGCATTCTTCGATATGTCCACATTTCAAATGCTTCCAATTCATTGAGACATTGTTTATTTAAAGTCCATGACTCCACACCATACAAAAGAACAGAAAATACATTACACTTTAGTACTCGTTTTTTAAGATCTAGTCTGAGGTCTCTACAACCTAGTATATGTTTCATATTATTGAATGCACTTTTAGCATTTTATATTCTAACTCTAACTCTAATTTCTTTGGTATAATCGTTTATTTAATTAATGTTTGCCCCTAAATAGTTATATTTCTGAACTCGTTCTATCGTCTTATTATTTACGTATAGATTGATGTATCTAAAATTTTTCGTTGATAT